AGGAATCTCCATTTCCCCAGCCCAGAGGTCTCCATCTTGCTCTATATATCAGAGGTTTATCTTCATAAACGTCGCTGGAATCCTTGAGTTGGGTTGACGAGGCACAAACCCCCGCCGGTGCGCAGAAGACTGTACAGTAATAGCTCGCATATAAGAACTTAGTGATTTAAGAACCTACAGGCTGAAATTCGGCATTTAAATACCCAAAAATACAAGTACCTGTTCAGCCTGGGAAAAAAAAAACTGGTTCTTATACAAAAAAAAATCACTCCAATTTTGATCCCTCAAAATTCCGGATGTTACTGATTGTGTGAGAAACTTCTGACAAAAAGTTATCGTGTATGTCTTTTTTTTGATTTACATTTGTTTGGATTTTCACAAGAAATATGTTTTCCATAAACCATTATGTATTAATAGTACAATATTTCTACCAATGGTTCAGTACGCTACGAAAAGTGCGAAAAATAAGAACCTATTGGTAATGGTAGCAGGACTGAGCGGAGTCCAATTCGGTCTGTAATCATAGGAGTGAGTCTGATTTGTTTATCACGAATATGATTACAGACCGAATTGGACGACACGAAGTTCTGTTACCAATTGATCATAACTTTAACAAAATTTGTGATATAACAGGCTATTTTTAAATCAAAACAGAAGAAATTCGAAATTTTGTTTTGCTAGCAGTGAAAAAAATAAGCCATTTAAGCGCTCGCTTGATGGCGCGTACTGTCCAATTACTTAGACATGACGCGTACTTTCCTAATAAGCAATCCAATTAGTATAGGTAATGCTGAAATCAGGGCAATTGATAGCCACTCATATTTGACAATTTTGTTATAGTTATGATTAAGAACCTAATCAGCCTGCGTTGTGAAAAACTACCCTAAAATATAAGAACCTGTTCAGCCTGACCTCAAAAATTGTATGTTCTTACAGGGTGTTTCAAAAGTTCGTTCCGATTGTAAATTGTATTTTGTTCAAAGCCTTTAATGCGTCTTCAGGCAAATGTAAACTGATTCAGGTAAATAACCGTTCAAAGCAATTTTTGAAGAAATTATAATTTAATTATTTAATTTATTTTAACTTTATAATTAAGATTTGAAGAAATTATAATTTTTTTTTAATTTTTGCCCCAACTGTACACGTACGCTCGGGGTCAGTTGACCCAGAAGAGATCTAAAGCAGTAGAGAATAGCTGCAGAAAACAGCAAACATAATAAAATACAGATACCGCAAAAATTAACTTACCTCTTTTACATAGGCACGGACCTTAAATACCGCAAAAGAATTTAGCAAACTGAAACAACAGAAACCACACATCTTTTTTTTCCCAGCCACGAGTGGGAAGTGATATTCGAGCAAACTTCATAACTGCCTACTCTGTTTATCTTCTCTCCGATGATCCAGAGATGTCACAACTGATATTTATATTTTTAATATTTTGAATTCTGTTTGTTATATTTATTTGTCTTATTTATTTATCTACCTATCTATCTTATAAATTTACCTTATACACTTATTTATTTTATTCATTTATTTAATATTTTCCGCCGTTCGCCGTCCGCCATGCCGCCATCCGCCGTCCGTTTCTGCATTTTACGGACACCCCTTCACCAGCGCGTCTTGCAATAAGTTACCTTTTCAGTCGATATCTTATTTCAAGATTCATCTTCACTTGGCCCGTCTACAGCAGTATCCTTGAGCTAACCGTCTAGAATACAAAGAAAGATCAGCAAATTTGCAACATTATCAGTAGCCGTGTTATTCTTTCTCCAGGGGTGCTTACCATTTGCAGAAAATTTTGGAAATTCTGGATGGAAGGTAAATATTAGGGCCACTTTTCGCAAATTCCAACCGAAAATGGAAGAGTACGTTTTGAGGTAGTCCTTTCATTCGAGTTGGTACGAACCACTGAAACGGAATGTTGCTTACCATTTACCAATTTCTCGGTTCCTTCTCGGTTCCAGACTAACGCCACACAAATACGCCCCTTTTTTTGGATTCTAACCGTAACGGATATGGCAATTCTGCGGTAAACTGGTAAATCCCTTACCATTATGCTTTCGACACCCCAACCGGATTTCTCTTTCAAATGGTAAGCACCCCAGGATACCGTCCATATTGCAGGTCGTTTCTATGAAAATGACTGAAAAACAATCCATTTTTGGATACATCGTTTCTTTTCTAAACAAAAAATTCTAATTATCCGGATTTTTGATCCGATCTCGGATTTTAGTAAAGAAGCGCACCCTAGGGCTGGTTTTCACTAGCGACGGAGTCAGAATAGGAGTCGTAAGCTGATTCGTAAGAGCGCTTATGACCTAATGAAAATAAAAAAATCAGTGTGGTAGCGGCGTCATAAGCGCGACGGAGTCGGTGTCTGAAGAATCAGAATGTTTCCATTTTCTTCCTACTCCGCTTATGACTCCGTCGCTAACGATCCAGTGAAAACGAGTTTGTCGGAGTCGGAAGCCGGAGCGAAACGACAAAACAATCACAAAGCTCGTTTGTTTCCACGCTTGGTTGAATCGAAATGCTGTTTTCACTGGATCATAATTAAACAAAGTGTATTGAAATGAAAGATGCACTTTTATAGCATATTGTGATCATGTCAAAATCTGTATAAAAATAAGGAGAAAACAAACCCAAAACAAAGAACAAACGCAAGCTCTAGCTGATAATTACTGAGAGTTTTGCACCTGCTAGACTGGTGTTATTACCAGCGTGTAACCAAAACTACGATATTTTTAGGTATTTGTCAATTCGTCTTGTTTCTCATGCTCACTCACACTTATATAGATGAGTCTTCTTTTATTTTCCCTTACAAGGATTTTGAGAAACAGAAGAAGCTCTGCTTGAGAAGAGGATTATAACACACAGACAAAGAGAGCGCTCTTGTCGACAGCCCCAATGTACTCACAGCAAAGGGAAGTATTTTCAAGAGAAGATCACGAGGTCTGCAGGCAAAGACAATGGGCATCCCTAGGTGCTTGGTTTTTGGGGCCCAAAGCAGAAAATGGAGAGGTTTTTCGGGAATTGCTGACGAAAGCTGTCGATTCTCATATCGGATTCCGTCACAGGTACTCAGTTCAAAGTATTATGGCAGGGGGTCACATCTAAGGCGGTCAGGATGCTTTCCTCCCAACTAAATCGGGCTATAGCAAGTCCTACTTCTTTTTTATTTATTTTTATTTTTAATTTATTTGTATCGTTACTTTATTTATTTATCTAGTTTTTGCCGAAACCGTTGTCAGTTTTTTGTAACACAGGTTTTTGGAACGTAGGATATTAAAGAAATTTGCCTTTTTAACGCCGTTAATTGTTTTATACACATCAGTGAACGCAGTCAGTGTCAGAATATAGACCAATTTCGATACATTAAAATTCACGATCGGCTCCGAGGTCTAACGGGTTAAAACAAAAGAAATCGCCTGGAGGTTCAGGGATGAATAATACTTTTCTTTTTTTATTCCACGAAGCCTCGCAGCTACGTATGAATTAAGTAATATATCGTAATTGGTCTATTAGCCTTGTATTCGTCAAAAAAAGCAAGGACAGTCCTAAAAATAGTGCCAATTATAATTTGCTCAAAATATTTTTCCTTTTCTGATTGGCTTAAATCTGCCGGTTAATTCTTTATAACTAGCTAAGGCTGGTCAAATAGGGCATTTCAGAGTTTTGCCAAGCACTTTTCAAAAATACGGCAAGTGCAAAGGTTTTCATGTAAAAATAATTGTTTATTTTATATAAAAAAAAACCCAGCAACAACAACTCATTTTAATATAACCATTCATATCCTGCTCATCCTCAACCAATAATTGTTCATTTCATTTAACAGTTACTTTCCCTGTGATCCTCCTTATGTAACAGACGAGCTTCGGGAGGCAGGTTCCTTCAACTATGCCATGGAGAAATTGAAATCTGAGATGGACAAATTGCAAATAGAATTGAAAAATTCTGTTCCATTCTTTAGTTCCAGATACAAGGTATAGATTTTAAGTATATTGCTATTTTGCCTAGTACTCTTTCCAGATTAAATTTTCCTCTTTCCTGAAAAGTAAGTCAGCCACAATTCCAAAGAAAAGAAAGACAATATGGTGGGCATAATACGCCTTTAGTGTTGCAAAACTCATTTCTAGTCATTTCCCTGCTAATTGGCGGAAAACCGGTCAGAACGGAGGATTTGGTTAAAAATGCGTTTTTTTTCCGCTACAGACTGACGGTCACCAAAGGGTTAATGGTTGCACGTCTGCATTAAATGTTCCAAAAGCTTCCACTAAAACCTCATGGGAACAACGCGTATTTTCTTTGCCTCAGGGTCACGTTCTTTGGGACACAGCAATGCCAGCTAACCTTGGCTACATGTCTGCAATGTTATACAACCAAAACAACTGCGCGTCAGAGGCCTCCACTGTCACAAGTAAATATGAAATGGAAGTGGGCAAGGACTTGTGTGTCATGCTGGGGTATGAAAGGGACAAATGTATGGGACATCTTACAGCTGGTGGTTCTGTCGCTAACATTGAGGCAGTTTGGGCGGCGAGAAATATAAAGTACTTTCCACTGGGACTGCAAGAAGCTTTGTTTAAGGAAGATAGACTTTTTGGTGCCAAAGGTTATAAGGTAAGTTGTGCTGCCATAGCATTCTAGTTTAGAAAGCAACTTTCTTTGACAAACTGAGTCGAAGGTTTTTTAAATTCTAAGTAAATAAGGTCAGTTTCAAAGCCTTTATCTGGAGCTTGACCAATATCCTGCATTACTTGAAGGAGTTGAGTCGTACAAGATTTTCGCGACAGGAAACCATGTTGTAGAGGGAACAAACAGTCCCTGATGAATGGAACGAGACGTGAGGTAACGCAGTGCTCTTGGATCTTAGGTACCTTTGATAACAAGGAAATAGGACGATAGTTGTCCACTTGGTTTTAATCATTCTCTTTATTAACAGGAGCGAGGTTAGCACATTTTCATTGAGTGGTGTGCAACCCACTACGCAAGCCAAATTAATAAAAACGACATTGGGAAGTTTTTCAGGACCAGTAGCCTTGTTAACCTTCGGCGTTTTTAATAGTTTAGAGACTTCATCAACAGTAACTTGAATTAGATCGAGAAACAGTGTCCGCTGTTCTCGCGAGAAGAGTAACAGTAAGGTATGCCACATCTCCATGCTCTTCCAAGTTTTGCGGTCCTGCACCAAAGCACGAATTTCTTGACGAACAGGGGGTTTTCAGGATTGATTAGCTTTGCAGCATACTTGTGAAATAGAATTTACATCCACCAGGTCTTGGTTTGACGTGTACACAGTGTTTGTGTCGTAACCAGTCATTAAGTGTTTACTATTGTCTAAGTGTTTTCTAAGTTCATTTTACTCTGTTTAGGTTTTTTTCCCTCAGAGAGGAAAAGAAAGAGAATTAGTCAGCGGGTCACAGTGGGAACTTCTTAACCTCGATGTCGACACTATTTTAAAAATGCCCTCTGATGTACAACTTTTAACAAGCCTCGGACATCAAGAATTTACGGAAATTATGTCAGAGTATCTTTATGAGTTCATTGGAGCGCAGGAGTTTGTACGGCGACATATGCTAACGCAAAGTCCGTGCATTTTTGTTCCAAGCACATTGCATAGTTCCTTAACGAAAGCAGCCACCATCCTCGGACTTGGTCGAAAGAGCCTTGTCTCTGTAGCAGTTGATGAAAACTCACGGATGGATCCTACTGGTTGGTAAAGTTTTTATGGGGTTACCTTCATGAAACCCCGAACAAGTTTCTGCTGTTTCTATCTATTATAGACATTTGCAGATTTACATTCTCTCCTTGCAGTGGAACATAGTAACCTAACTTTGTTTTGGCATAAAAAATAATACAACACTAGCTTTTGTACTGACGTTATCGATGTGCTGGAATTGATTACTCGCTTGACGGGTTACTGTGTCTTCCTTACGCTTCTTTATGCTTGGTTTTCTCGTAAAGTCATTCATTATATTTTAAAAAAAGGAAAGAAAGAAAAAAAACACGAGCACAGGACAAACAACAGGATGTATTTAATTAACATTAACAGCCCGAGTAATTAATAGTCCATTTCCGAGTTCCAAAAAAACCTCACTTTCAAAATGAGGTCTAGTGAGAAACCTTTCTTGTGAAAATGAGTTTTATTTGCCTGAGAATAACTAATCATTTTCATATCAATGGCTTTGCAATTACCCCCGCTTTAAAACAGAGGACTGCTTTTGAGGCAATTCGGAAATGCCCTATTTACTGATTCAGTTGGTCATATGTGTGTTATTTGTGCGGTTTATTGAGATGAGCATGGGTTGTTGGTCATTGAATCGAAGACCATTAACATTTTTGTACCAACATTTAATTTAGATTTGAACCGCAAACTAAAAGAAAAGTTGGATAAGGAAATTCCAGTCATTACAGTAGTAGCTATCACAGGAACAACAGAGCAAAGCGCCGTGGATCCAGTGAATACAATTGTCCATTTGCGCGGAAAGTTTAGAACCAAGGTAAGAATAACGTAAACTTATGACTTCATTTCTGAAATTGTCGCCACTGTCTTCATCGATCATCCTCATCATGATCGTTCCCATCTTCGTCGTATCATGAATCATCTTCGACATTATCAATAGGGAGTTGAAGCAAAACTCTATGGCGGGCTCTACTACAGCAAATAATTTTGCGAATGGCAGGCGTTCAAGTGCAGTCGTAACGGCATATCCTTCTTCGTCTAAAGCAGTGATTTGGTGCATTATCTAACACGTGAGTTTTAAATCGCTTGTTTGTCCTTTCTAACGAACGTCTTAGTTTTTTGTTTTCTATTCATAAATATTTTACATACAATTTTTGTTCTAAAGGCAAAAAAGTTTTGGGATCAGAATCAACTATTTTGAGGTTAAGCTGATAGTTAATTTTCTTTTGGTGAGGATGGAAGATAATAAAGTTCGAGTTTTTAACGTGTAGCGTTAGCTTATAGGCTGTTAACCATTCATAAACTTTCTGGAGTTCCAGGTTCACAACAAGCTCCAGGGTTCGAAGATTTTTATCAGCACATAATAGATTTGTGTCATCAGCAAACAAGTAGAATTCTAATTTATCAGATGACTTGTGGATATCGTTGACATATAATAAAAACAGTAAAGGTCCTAGAACAGAGCCTTGTGGGACGTCACAAGTCATCGGTTGCTTGTTGGAGATATCACGTTCAATTTGAGTTGACTGAACCGGTCAGAAAGATAAGAACGGTTTAGTTTTATTTGTGAAGACATAAAATGGATCTACTCTAAAACAGCTGCATCTGCAAGACAAAAAAAAGACATTTTTACCACTGTTGCAGTTTCTAAACCACATATCACAAGTTTTCTTTGAGTCTTATTAGATATTCGAAATGGTTCTTGGGAAACTGATGTCACGCCATCGCTTAGAGAGGCAAATTTTGATGGTGAGAGAGTTCCTTTCAAGCTCAATGTCGAGCAATAAGAACACCAAAAACAATATCAACTTTCTACGCCATATTGAAGCAGAGTAACTGTAGTTTCACTAGTGAAAGGCGATTCTCATAACACAAATTAGTTGTTCGGATTTTCACAAGAACCCAGGAATTGTCAAGAACTATTAACTAAAATGCTGAGATGTTTTGTTCTATATGCTCTATGAAACCAAAATTTGGCTGGAGTAAACTTTCAATCACTTTTAATTAAATCAGACACTTTACTTTATCAGTAGACAGCAATTCCGCTCATTTTAAAACCTTCAAAACTCGACGCGTTACAAACAGTATTTCGGAAACTGAATTCCGACCTCAAAGCATGCATCCGACATGAAATATATCACGGAACACCAGTAGAATGGTACTAAATTTTGACAGCATGTACTGTACATGTGCAACTGTTACTCAATCAATGCAATTCCCATATCACAAAGGAACACAAAAGTGTCAGGGGTCTGAAGCCAAATTTTATTTTTTGGGTGAAACGAAACTTAACTTTGTAGATCCCAACCTCCACCTTGCTTTAAAATGAAACGGATAATAACGCAAAAATAACAACTGTACCCAGAATATGAAAAATAACTTCATTGCAGTGCTGGAGTCTAATTTAATGAAGACATGATGGAAACACAACTGATCACGATTTGTTGTTTATCGACACTTTGAAATTGTAAATGAGAACAACAGGGTTTCCTCGTTTTCGCGAGCGCTAGGAACTAGTAATCTGTTGAATTTACCACAATAGACATGTTCGCAGCGCAAGCGTAGACATTTTTCGCCAGTGAAGCTATTACTTGGCGAGCTGCGTCAAAGTACTCACCCAAGATCTCCTCTGCCACGACAAACGTATTATCGCCTGCCGTAGCGATTTGCTTTAACTCCGTATTATTATCTTTACTTCGTTTTTTTTATATAGACCTTTAAATACCTTGTTTCTCTTAGCCAAACTAGCAATGCGATTGATATGGTACTCTGAAGGAACATTTTCTTAACACTCCATTTTTATATTTAACAACTAGGGTCTGAACTTCAGCATTCACGCGGATGCAGCTTGGGGAGGATATTTCTGTAGCATGCTGCGCGCGCAGCCTGAGAGAAGTCCGACGCCAACAGCCAAAGAAGCAGGATTTGTTCCAGAATTGTACCTTAGCTCCTACGTCCATGAACAGTTATCAGCTCTCCATTATTGTGATACAATCACTGTTGATCCCCACAAATCTGGCTTCTGTCCGTATCCTGGTGGTACAATCTGTTATAGAGACAAAAGGATGAACTCATTTCTGTCAATCAACAGTAAGGTGCCCTACCTCCATGGAAAGACGAGTCTTGGCGACGTTGGCATCGAGGGATCCAAACCTGGGGCAGCTGCTGTGGGGGTGATGATGGCAAACAGGGTAACCATTTAGGACTGTTTTTCTTTTACTAATTTATTTTAAAAAACCAGCCCATTTTTCTTAGATGTTGCCATCCGTCTGTTCCAGGAGACAATGAAGTCTGCGCCTAGGTTAGTCTGTGGTTGAGTTGCAGCGCCTGCTTTGGCTGTACAGTCCAATTCTGGATCGGCAGGCTCAGTTGCAGTTGCTACAGATGAATTCCGCGCTTAGCTTTGTGGGTGCTAATGCTACCCACTGCCGTCTCCCCTCTCTCCTCTTGTCCCACTGCTCCTCTCTCCTCTTCTCACTTGTCTAAATTCCTGCCTTGATAGCAAGCCTCCAGAGACTTCGGTCTGCAGCTACAGATTTCCAATCTGCTGGGTTGACATTTCCTTCCTTCAGATCACGTTTAAAAACGTTTTTGAAGCAAAGGGTAGGCCATCCTGCAGGTCTAATTCTAGTGGCAAGCTCGCTGTAGGGTATGTCCTTGGGAATTCTTCAGTCCTCTATAGTGCTGACGTGGCCAGGCTAGCGCAGCCGTCTCTATTTGAGCAAGGCGAACATGCTAGGTACTCCCGCCTGTGCCAGGAAATCCTTGTTTAGGACACGTTCTTCCCAGGTGATGTCCAAAATCCTTTTGAGGCAGCGCAGGTGGAAGATGTTGAGTCTACGCTCTTGACAGGAGTAGAGGGTTCAGGTCTCGCTGCCGTAGAGCAGTGTGCTGAGCACGTGGGAGTGGTACAACTTCGTCTTGGTGCTAATGGTCAACAAGGTGTTGTCCCAGACCCTCTTTCCAAGGTGTGCCAGTGCTGCTGCTGCTTTGACGATCCGTTGGTTCAGTGCGGTGTCCAGGGAGAGGCTACTGGAGATGGTGGAGCCTAGTTAAAAAAAGTTCTCCACAACCTCAAGAGTGCAGTCGCCAATGGAGATGCTTGGCATGCTGCTAACGTCTTGGCCAAGGATGTTAGTCTTCTTAAGAATGACGATGGGACCAAACTCTTTACAAGCGTGTGCGAAGCAGCTGATGAGTAGCTGTAGAGCATCCTAAGTGTGTGCGGTTAGGGAAGCTTCGTCTACAAACAGCATCTCTCTTATCCCTTTTCCTTCAAGTTCAGCGGAGCCACGATTTGGAACATGCTTCCCCTGGACCTGAGGAGCGAGCAGCGAGCATGATATTGAAAAGTTCAAGTCTGGCCTCAAAAGGCATCCCTTACTTTTGATATACTATTGTATTTTAGTAAAAGCCAACTAGTGGTCTATTATCAATGCTGCGTTCCGATTGGTTGAGCTACTACTAGGCTATATGTTATAGCCTACTAGTAGCGAAAAGCGCCGGCTTTGAAAACCAGGACAATGGCGGCTGAATAGCGTTTTGCTTGCTAAAGTTGTTTTGTCTCGATATTTTTGACCAACTAGTTGGATTTTACTAAAACAATTATTTCTCTCGCCCTCATGGCCTCTGAGTTAATAGCCCACTCAGCCTTCGGCCTCATGGGCTATTGACTCAGAGCCCATTCTGGCATCTCTGACTAAATAAGGTCAATAAAATAAATGAATAAATAAATCATTAACTTACGCACCTTGGCCTTTGCTTGGAGGCGTGCAAGGTTGAAGAGGTGTGGATTTAGGGAGAAAAAGGTGTCGAAGAGTTCGGGAACGAGTACGCGCGCAGCCCTGTTTCACTCTCCTCTTGATTAGAAAGGGGTCCGAGGATGAGCCGTCGTACTGGACGGCACCTTGCTAGTCTTCATGGAAAGACGCGATCATCCTTACGAGCTCCGGGGACATCCAATCCTCTGCAGAAGAGTGAATAGGTCTTTCCTGATGACTAGATCCAAGGCCTTAGTCAGGTCAATACAAGCGATGTATAGGGGCTTGCTATGCTTGCGACATCTTTCCTACAGCTGCCTCAATGAAAAGATCACGTCCATTGTTGATCTTCCTGCGCTGAGCCCGAACTGCGTCTCAGGATACACCCGTTCTGATAACGTCTGCAACCCGTTCACCGCTACATGGGCAAAGGCCTTCCCACCGTCGGCTAGCACATCCTCGGAGACCCAGGGGCAGTCAGTCGGGCCGGGAGAAAAGGCCCGACGAAAGTTTTCAAGCACTGGCGGAAGAGCCCTTGGGTACCGACTCTCACCGGACCATTTCCAAACGGTCAAGCGAATGCTGGCTCCTGATTGGGCACAAAAATGCTTTGTATTATTGTGCCCAATCGGCGAACAGTTTTCCTCAGTTCTTGTCGTGAGTTCGTACACTTGTCCAGCTTGTCATTTACATTTTCAGACATGTCAAGCAGCGTTCATTGAGTAGTGTATAGATCGTAAATAAAACTATCCTTGTCAAAATTCTTGGAGCTCCGTATTTAATGGTGTCATGATGCGATTTTGGTGATTTAGGGCCACGAGACCTGTGTACGAAGCACACCGGATAATGGTCACTTGGTCCATATATGGGGACATATATGGGCTTTCGATGATTTGTTCAGGATGCGTAACATAAACATGATCTAGCAGCGGAACCGAACATCGGGTAACTCTTGTTGGGGTGGAAGCAGATATTATCTGTTCCATCCCTGCATCTTGGAATATTGTGGATAGCCTACAGGACCCTTTAACCGTTATCAGGTCAACATTGAAGTCTCCAACCACAAATTATTTCGTTATATGTGCTCGTAGAAACGTCTATCATTTTCTCCAGGGACATACAGAAATCAGGATTTGAGTTTGGCGAGCGGTAGATAATAATAAAAAAATCTTTGTCCCCAAACGATGTTGCTTGGTCTCTAAGCAAAGATGTTCGAAGTAAGTTGTAGATGGATCCAGCAGGTGTATCCTATGGTAGTGAACAGCACAGCTAACATACATGGCAACACCACCGCCTCTTATCAAGTCACTCAGATCACAGCGGTGAATTTGATAATTCTGTAGAGCAATCTCGCAGTCTGAGGAGGGATATTCCACGATAGTTGTTGCAGTGGCTGCAGTCTTCCTTTTTCGTGTAGAGCGTGATGATGTTGGTGTCACGTTACTGTTCCTCCCCGCACTGTAGCAGGAGGTCGTGCAGATGATGAAGGAGAGCAGTGTTCTTGCCAGCCTTGATGACCTCTGGTGGGATATCGTCGTTGCCTAGTGCTTTAACGCAGGCTAGACCGTTGATTGCTTTGCGGAGTTCGTCTACTGAGGGTGGACCGTCAAAATCTTCCATGACAGGCAGGAGGATAATACTCTCAACTGCTGCGTCAGTGACGATATTCTCCCTTGAGTAGAGCTCTTGGTAGTGTTCTCCTCATCTCTCTATCTGTTTCGCCCAGTCTGTAATGATGTCACCAGCAGATAACTTCAAGGGTGCAGTTTTGGTGGCGCTTAGACCGAAGGCTTTCTTTATGCTATCATACATGGTGCGGATGTTCCCGCAGTCATCGGATAGTTGGATGCTACGACAGAGATTCAGCCAGTTGTCGTTGGCACGGCGTCGAGCGATTCGTTGGACATCGTTCCTGGCCTTCCTGAGTGCAAAGAGTGTCTAATCGAAGGGTCTCGAGCAGTGCTGCTCGCTTCGCCGCAATTGCTGGCTCGAATTCGGCAATGCCAGCTTCAAATCAGTCTGCGTTCTGCCGCTTTCTATTGCCGAAGGTGTCCATGGTTGATTTGTAGGTAGTGACACGGATGTGGTTCCATCTTTCTTCAGCGCTTGTTGTGTGGCAGTCCCTCAGGGCCTCTTCAGTGAAGTCGGCGGAGCCCTCACACAGGTCTCGGATTGCTGTCCTGGCTGTGGTGATGCGTGGGCGTCCTTTCTGTGTGGAGCGGTGGACTCGTTTGGGTTGAAGACGCACCTTGCTGCCAACTAGACAGTTGTCGGTGTCACAGTCAGCGCTGTGGTAACTGCGGGTACTGAGGATGCAGTTGAGAAGGGTCTTCGAGTGATAACAAGATCCAGCTGGTGCCAGTGACTGGATCAGGGGTGCTGCCAAGATACTCTGTGGCTAAACGTGGTTGAGAATAAGGTGTTGGTTATGCAGATGTTGTGGGAAGAGCACAGCTACAATAGTCTCTGACCGTCCTCGTTCAACTTGCCGACGCCAAAGTGGCCGATGCCGCGGGGTCAAGAGTCGTGGTCAGCTCCCACTCGGGCGGTGAGGTCCTAGAGCAAGAACAGGTATTACGTGGCAGGAATCTCTCTGATGGTTGTCTCTAGTTCCTAATAAAACTCATCCCTGACCTCGGCTGAAGAGCAGATTGATGGAGCGTAAATGCTCGGGATGATCACTGGGTCTGAGGAGGTGGAGAAGCGAGGAGAGAGAATACGGGCTGTGCCTTTGGATGGTGCAGCTTTATAGGGGAAAGGAGAGAATTTATCACTGCAAATACAACGCCCAGCAACCTTGGGTCCTCTGGTTCCTTCCCTTGTCAAAAGAAAGTGTAGTCCTGTTATCCGAGGCTGCCGTCTGATGGGATTCTAGTCTCCTGCAGTGCAGCTATGTCGATATTGAGCCTTTGAGATCAAAAGGCTTTCCCCTAAGCTTCAAGCACGTAATGAATCAGGCAGACTGTGGCGAGTAATCACCTTACTGGCTGGAGGGTGCCCAGCTTGAGGCGGGTGATAGCTGACCGGTGGGACGCGATGATCCCTCCCACCGTCGGAGGCAACCTGTAGCGCACGGACCTACGCCAGTAGGCCTGGACGTATGACCCGTAACTGCTGCCTCCCGTGTTGGGGAGACTGAGATGCCCAGTCGTCAGGATCCACCTCTCGGCCTCACTGATGTAGTCCAAAGGAGAGCAGAGCAAAATATTTGGTACCAGCTTGACTACCGGAGCTGTTGGCAGGTAATCATGTTCCCAATGAACCGCCTTAGGGGCTCCTCTCCGGATTTCTGCAGGGTTTACTCCTTAGCCTTTCCTCCTCCCAGATATTCCACAAGGCAGCGGAGCTATACTCCAATGGCCGGGGCACGGATGCTGGAACCCTAGGGCTTTCATGGACCAAGGATCTTTGCCCTCCCAGTCTGTCCATCACCCCTGGACACCTCGAGGGTGTTACCTCAGACTTACGCCTTGTCCTAGAGGAACTGCGTGCCATGGTTGCCGAGCTTCATCTGCCCGAGTTTCGAAATGAGAAATTTCCTTCTCCTAGGCAGATTTATTTACAACCAGGGTTGAGGGCTCAGCCTAGGCCTGCGCAGCCCAGTTATCCGGTCGGGCACCCGGTGGCGCCACAATAGCAGTCTCCGCGAGAACGGGGAATCTCCTTGTAGGCGCGGCTGTGGACACGTTTTTGAAGCCTTAGAAATAGCCTTACAATGATAGCCTTAGTACCTGGCAAGCCAGCCGGTGGCTACGCGGCGATCACTACACTATGGAAATGAGAAGTTTTTGAATGCAAGTCACTTTCCGGATGAGCGAGACGTCCAGCACAAGACCTCACCAGACCCCACCCAATCTCTATTATCACGTTATTTCATGCATTTATCCAAGCAGACATTTCATGTAGTGTTTCATTTGCCACAAAAAGAATATAAGCTGTTTCTCAACTGCTTGTCCTTACAATGGCATAGTTTTCCTTATTTCGTTTTCTTATTTTCACAGGTCATTGGTCTTCACGGTTACCGTCGTATCCTGGCTTTGTGCATGTTTACGTCAAAGATCCTGTACTGTCAGTGGGCAACACTAGCCAAAGAGGACGACATTTTTGTTATTAAAACAACAAAACCATTATCCAATATGAATAACTGGTCAGATGAGGAGCATATCAAATTTATTAGGGGACGAATTCTGGGAAAAAGCAACAAAGAACTTGCGCGGGTAAATCTTTTAACCTGTTAAACTGTATTGCTTTATTTTTGTGATTTAATTCCGTACCGACGCAGCAATGCTAATACTGTTTCAACTTGTTTGTCGTTTAGGATGATGAGGCTATGACTTACCTTGAAGAAGTGGGTCCTGACACCTTGATACCGTGTTTCTCTGTAAACTTGAAAGGAAACGAAAGCGTTGAAGTGTGCAATGCAATCAACACATCGATCTTCGAAAGCCTCAGTCACACATCAGGGGAACATACAGCGCTTCGTATTCCAATGCTTGTTACCTCTTCAAGTCTAGTGTCCCACGTCCACAGTGTTGCAGCTACAAATTTCAAGAAAAGATTAGGGGTAAAATGTCATTAAACTTATGACACTGCGTTGAAACTGTGTTAAAAACTAACGGACATTATATTGTTACGGGAATTCGTTAGACTTTACCACATAGGCGGTTTGATATATTTTTATCCTAACCAGTCATGCTTATTGCCATCGGTTAAACACTGCCTAACTATTACGTAAATATCAGGTTAGCGTCGTCGGTTTTATCCAGGATTGGATTGGCTAGAAGAGAGAAAAATCTTGGGGGTCATCTTTCAGGAAATTTTGAATATTTGAAGAATTGGTGATGTTTTTTTAAACCGCACCGATGAAAAGTGAAAAGAAATATGCGCGTCTAACATTTCGTTACTTAGCACTATAATATGTATTGAATTTATACTGTCATATGATTAACTGAGTGCCTTTTTTTCGCTAACTGATTTACACTTAGTTCCCTTTTTTCCCTCCTTGATCCAGCTTAACTCAAATAACGACACGCCAGTCAAATACGTCATTACAACCTGCATGGATCCCTGGGCCACATCAACAGAGTTCATGGAGCGCATGGCTTCTATCATGAGAAATAGTATTTTGTGCGCCGTTGGAAGGGTAAGGGCAAACTCAGATGTAATCAAATTGCAAGTGCTTCATTATACGTAAAGTACGGCTTAGAACGTACAGATGTGTTGCCTTTGAGACAATATATTAGATCATTAAAATTCAATTAAGGTGCATGGCTTAATCTATTTATTTGCGGTTTGGTCATGTTTTTATAGATCGCGATTTCCATGTCAAGGCATTGTGCAAAGTTGAAATGACTGTATCATTTTTATTTCACTAAGCAAATTGATTTACACGTTTTTATTCTCAGTTAGTCCCCAAGTGGCAAACTAATCCTGTGACAATGTAAAAACAAAGCCAGAAAACTTGAATATATTACCAAGCAAAAGGTTTTGATTACATCATTTAACGAAGTTAGGCAAGAATCTGTTGTATGGTTTTAAAATTACTGGTATCTTTTTGTACAAATAAGGTATTCAATATATGATGATATCTGAAACGCTTTCTTTCCTGAGGGAGAGTAAATATATAGGTTATTAAAGTTCCCACACTCCCCATATTATCTAGCTAGGCTACCATTTTCAAAATCGTCTTTAGTTGCATATTGCATATAAAATGGATTCAGTATAATAGAGCGGTTTCACACGCCATCACTGCGGCCATTTTTGTGTGCCAAAATCGATGATACGGCGGCCATATTGGTGTTCCAAGCTTATCCTGTGGGAGTTGATATCTTTTCTTCTATGCTGATCACGTGAGTGAAACGCTCTAATACTCAGGTGGTTGTAGAGTTTCGCGCGCTCTGATTGGTCCAGGACCACCTCGTCTACCCCAATAATCACCAGGCGAGTGAGGTTATATTGTAGCCATTTCTGATGATTGACTCTGTGTACCAGATCGACCGCCGAATACAATGAACTTAAAAGCCTGGATTAATTTAGTTTAGAACGGTTAATACAATATGCCTGAACACCTTGGAAGTTTATGTATTCCTTACAAATCCTGAATAGAGGATGAAGAGGTACGAGTTTTAATTCGTAACTCGTAACTAGTATCTCGTATCTCGTTTTAACTTGTACTTAAGAGTACAAGTTAAGTTGCAGATTGGCAGCCGTACATCAACGATGTATCAATTTATGTCGATCTCTCCTGTTAGGTTACTGATCCTATTGCACTCCACAACTTTGTCAGCACGGGTGTTGTCAATGAACAGAATGAAGTGATCGCCTATTATGTAGGAGACTTTAAGAGAGTCCCGAAACAGTACGAAGCGATTGTTAAGTTAAAATTCATGTGCGACAAAGACGCCCAGAAGTACATCACGACACAGAAAATGCTGTTAAAGTGTAATGTTCCTCAACCAATTGTCTTTCGAAGCAAAAAGCAAAGACTTTATGACGTCTTCTTCAAGAATACAGGGTACTCCGGTGAACTGGAAAAGTTCGACTGTTTCATTGGCCTTCCTTCTGATAACAGCAACCATCCATTTATGAGCCCAAGCATGAAAATCATGGACGTTCCACGTTACAATCATTTTGACAACCACGAATTCCCTGAGCACAGTTCGTACTTTATGTACGGAGACAAGGAAAATGTGTTTTTGTTCCACATCCCTACCAAGAGTCTTGACTTCTTTCAGGTAATAACGCTTTGTTAAGCTATTGTTCTACTCAGTACATGTACATAACTTTATTATATACATACTGAGAAATACTCACCAAAAAGCTATGTCGTAAATTTTCGTACGCAAATTAGTTCTAGCCAATCAGAGGAGCGAACGATGGATTTCACGTGTGAGAAAAATGATACGTCCAATCAGAAGCCACAGAGGTGTGTGAGTTTCGCGCCAAAATTCCCGCCTTTTATTGCAGCTTGCAGCGCCGCTTCGCACACATTCAACGAGAAAAGTTTTACTCAAAGAGTTTTTCTCGCTAAAAAAGTGAAAAACATTTCGGAAATGGAGTGGAATAGTTTTGTTTGTTTGACTTTCGATAAAGAAAACGGTAGAGAGCCGGCGAAACAACAGCGGAAAGGGAAAAACAGAACGAGACGTAAGCGTTTCTTGTGCTTTTTGTCGGAGTTACTTTGCCTTTAATTTAACCTTAAGCTTATATTGAAACCGGCCATTTTACTTAAATTCACTCATTTTCAATTGTGCATTGAGAACAAACAGTTAAGATTAGTTATAGTTCTTGAATTACCTCATATCCCTACCGTCATTTATGTTTTTAACAAACTTTTTTACTAAAAAAGCTGATGCTTCGTTTCCGTTGTCATTTTGCGGTAAGTGTGTAGCGGCAAATTTTAGCATTTTTTGAAAGATTTCAAATAAAAAGGCCGCCAAAATGATGAATGTCTCAGTACGTATATAATAAACACAATACCACATGGAAAGTGCTTTGTACGGTATTTACGCACTCGTTGTTTTTGTATCAGAAATGTTACTCGTTCGCTGCGCTCACTTGTTCGATATCTGATGCGTCTACAACTCGTGCGTAAATACCGTACGCCAGCACTTTCCATGAAGTATTCTCTGTATCTCTCTATTATATTTAATTATTAATTATTATTATTGTTATTATTATTATTATTATTAGCAGTTTTTTTTTTCATGTTTCGTTCTTCACGTTGTTTACAATATTAAGGCCCCGTCCACACTATGCCGAATAAATTTGAAAACGCGACTTCATTTTTCCGGCTAGGCCTTCCGTCCACACTAATCGGCATGGGTCCGGATAAATTTCCCACCGATAAAGGAACTTTTCTAAAAAGGTCTCCAGAGTGGAAGAATTTAAAAACGACGGCTAGCCGTTTTACTGTGGATGGAGAAAATTTTAAAAACGGAACATTTCGAAACCGCTGACGTCACTATTATCTTGTGTGATTTCTCTGGCAGCTTTGCATTTTCCAATTTCGTCCGGATTAGTGTGGACAGAAAACTTTTTATACGTTTTTGACCAAAACCGGTGAAAAAAAGAAGCGTTTTCAAATTTATCCGGATGAGTGTGGCGGAAAACATTTTATGCGGCGTTTTCAAATTTATCCGGTTTTGTGTGGACGGGGCCTAAAAATGAGAAAATTTCTCTCATGAAGTTATTTCCGTTTAAGAACGAAATCACATAAAAACAAAAAACAACAACAATAACAACAAATCAAATCAAATCACTGGTTTATTATCCCTTTTGCATGCGGAAGACTGAATTGTAGAATACCTTACAAGCTGTGATATATATACTAATACGCTACATTGATTGACAAGATTAATATCTAACACTAACAAAATTTGAGAAACGTTCAGTCCTTGTGGCCATGGGCTGCTAGAACTCCCTGATCTTAGACACACACTGGTAGATATAGGTACCACTCTGTTGTGTATTGGTAAGTATAACGGGTTACCTGGCCGAACCTTACCTATAAATTTAATACACGAGACTCTCCGACGGTCAGAAAGAGTGGATAATGCAGCTTTGTCAAGTGCTGTTTCATATGAAATACTAGGCCAAATGATGGAAAGGGCCCTTTTTTTGCACGTTCTCGAGATAGCAAGCAAGATACTTAGGGAAGCCAGGAGAGACAGCGGAGGCGTACTCTAGTATAAAGCGAATTAGCGCGCGGTAGATATGAACAATATCAGCCGACCTTTGCACTTCTTGAGTTGTCTCAATGCATAAAGCCGTCTGTTGGCCTTCTTCACTATGTAGTCAAGATCAATTTCTGTGCCAGACATACCGGTCAATTACAATTATTGGACGAGGTTGAGCAATTAGCAGTTATTGGACGAGTGTCTCGCAGATCAATAATTGATCTTCTCGCCACAGACAAATCGCGATATTTTTCGATAACCGAGTACAATAATTGTTTTATCATTCGATCACCGAGTTTGTTTTCTTAATGAATATCCTTGGGAAGCGACGCGATCTGCCATTTTCACGCAAAGAAAAAGAAAAGCACGGTTTCCTTTACGCATGAGCAGAATATTATTTGCGGCCAAACACTGTTGGACGGCATTGCACATGAGCAGACCATTATTTGTAGGCAGTTATTTGCAGGTCACGTGGTGGGCTCTTGACCAATGAAAAGAAAGAAAAATTGGCTTCGAATGATAAATTAATATTTATGTGTATTTTATTTTATTCGGGAAGCTTAGCTAAGTTTTGAAAAGTTCAGTTCAGTTTCTAGCCTCTTCCCAGCCAATTATCTAGGATCTTAAAAATGTTTCTGTAATGTAGAACTCTTAGTGGAATTCTTAGCATCTTATGTCATACACTTTTGATAACCACCGAGAGATAACATAGGTAATAGAATTATAATTTGGACACAGGGATATATGTTATATTAATTGTAATGGAACTTACATTTCTGTGAGCATT